AGAACACTCTAGTCTCCTTCAGACTAGAATTCCTCTGATTTCAATGCACATGTTGTAAAGAACTCACAACTTTATGAAGGTCGCAAGGAAGACATCAACAGTTAGGGTGTCCAGGACCCTTAAATATTGTCTTCTCAATGTCTTCAAAACGACTACCCCTGAGGTTCTCATTGGAGTTCGTGGAACAAACAAAATTCACAGGGAGCAAGGTCTTGACTGTAGGGAAGATGATGGACAGATTTGGTGTCCGTATTTTTCAACACAAAACCTTATTCCATACCAAGCTATATATATATATATATATATATATATATATAATTATTTATTTAAAAATATGATTCCAATACGCAAATAAATAAATATTAAATAAATAATTATATTTATGTTCTACTTTTGTATCGAGCACTATTTTTAAAATAATAACAAAATACTAAAAATTTTGGATTACTTACCTAACGACTTCTTTCTTATTTTCTATATTTTTTTCATATATATATATATATATATATATATATATATATATATATATATATATATATATATATATATGTATATATATAAATAAATGATAGAAATTAAGGAGGATTTCAGATAATTATAATTAAGTAATTCATCGAGTCGAGAAGAAACCTCAACACAGAATGCAGAAAACGCCGCTCGTTCACATATTCCGTTACATCTTCGTCACCGAGGCCCGTTGGTGCAGTTGGTATGACGTTTGCCTCATATCGTAACTGTTCGGGTCTCAATTCTCAGTAGTGGATTCGCACTGCTGATGAGTCCCCAATATAGGACGAAACAGCCGTCTAGTGCTCTCAGCATTCTGTTGAGGTTTCTTCTAGACCCGATGAATTACTTTATTATATATATATATATATATATATATATATATATATATATATATTATAAATGCAATATCAATCGCTATATTTCGTCTTCTTAAATGTTTAATGTTTTTCTTCCTCTCATATTATTTCACACTCAATAATACCTTGAATCTAACGGTCTTTATTACTTTGCTTGAGATGAAATGATGACACACACACATAATTTCTTGAGGTCTGCGGCTTGAATTTGACATACACACTTCGAATTCATATATATATATATATATATATATATATATATATAGGTAATATACTCGTCTCGAAAAACCTTCGAATTTTTGATTTGATTATTAGCAAATCAATTTCGAAGGAAAAAAAGATTTTAAAAAAAGAAAGAGACAGGAACATGAAAGTCTGTCGAAAAAATCCGCACAGATACAGGTTCAAAGCCAAAAATATAATATATATATATATATATATATATATATATATATATATATATATATATATATATATATGTGTGTGTGTGTGTGTGTGTGTGTGTGTGTGTGTGTGTGAAAATATATAGAAAATAGGAAGGAACTGGTTAGGTAAATAATCCAAAGTCCCTTAGTATTTTAGTTATTATTTTTAAAAAATAGTGCTCGATACAAAATTATTCCAATTATTATTGGAAAATTATTGACAAGGCTAGAATATGTAAAGCTTGGGATGACCCATGCCCTTTGTGCCTCCATGAAAAATTGCACATCATTAAACTTTTAAATAATAATAATCTATTAAATAATAGACACGAGTTAACGGTTTTTTGTAGGCATCATCAGATTTTTGGTTTGAATTATTAGATAAAATAAATTTATATAACTTGTTTAACAAATAGCCCAATCATCAGATTCATAGTAGGAATAATTAACTACAAACATGCATACAACATAACACACTTCATAATCCATAGCCTAAATTAGTAGTTTAAATACCTTACATATAAGATAACCCTTTATGAAGTCGTCAAAAACAAACGTTACGAAAGTTTTTTTTTTATATGCACAATTCCCTTTCATAATAAAATAAAATAAAATAAATAAATAAATCTCCATAGACAAGCAAACTAGACGATGGCCAATACATCTTCCGTTTCATTTTTGACACCCCCCACCTTTCCCCGACTTGACACCTTGAAAGTATCTCTATACCGCTACTTAATATAAACACCCTACACTCGCCTACCCAATTTAGAAAATTCACCATAGCTGTTACCATGGGGATTTTGATTTCAATTTTAAAACAAGTAAATTTCAGATATACGTTATTCCAACAAAACTTTCGCTTGAGGATGGAACGGAGCCCTTTTTACTTTCAACTCAATTTAATTTAAAAAGATTATATTGAATTTTTCGGCTCTAGTTTTGAAACATGAGACCTCTTATGTAGCGATTTGGAATCATATTTTTTAAATAAATAATTATATATATATATATATATATATATATATATATATATATATATATATTGGAAGATTGAAGTTTAAATACAGTAAATTCGACCTTTCTAACCGAACGCTCCTCTGTGGCCAAATCGGTAATGACACGTCAAGCTAAATGATGGTTCCGTATATGATACAGGTTCGAATCCTATCGGAGGACGAATATTTTCTGTGAAAATTTCTTGGACAT